CAGCTTTTGTGCTGTTAGTTGGATCTACATCGATCCCATACTACAACTCTCAGCATATCTGGGTAGGATGGCCAGTGCTGCAAATTCTGAGAGGCTTTAGCACAACACATTTAGAAAGCATCTATTTGAGAAAAGTTTATTTATACCGATAGAAACATGATGCTAAGGGGAAAGTGTACATTTCTAGGTCTTGTCTCATCTTCAACAATCCATAGTCTCAAAAAAATTTGGATTGCTGAAAGACATTTTCTACAACAGTTTGAATTTTGAAAGTGTTAAATGTTAAAGTTATTGGATGGAAGCATAGTGAAATAAATATAGGACACTATTTAATATGTTTTTTAATCTCTTGTGATACATTTGTCTGGAATGGCAAAATATTAGGCAAAATGATTGGGGAAATATTTCAGTTGGGATGAGAAACAGTAGTGTTGGAAAAGGAAAAATGTTTTCTACACTTCTCAAAATCTTTTTACATGATGGTAACGTCTTGGCTGCTATATGTGACACGTTTTTCTAAACCTGCTCCCTTCTCATCTTCACTGCCGAAGAGCAGTTCATCAAAAAACAAAAAAGCATAACAAATATGCTTATTTATATAGATATAGTTAATATATTCACAGGTTTGTATGAATCAGTTACTCAAAGTAGAAGGTTTTTGTTGTGATGAATATGTGCTGTTTGGAGTATACTGCTGTCAAAGAATTAGTAGAGGGTTGAGCTGAAGCGTCATGGTGTCACTTTTTATTTCCATCACCTTACTCTAAGGATACACCAGAAACTCTGAATAGTGCTTTGTTCAGGACGAGAATAAGTGCTCTTAATGGAGAATCTTGAAATCTGTTTTTTTTTCTTTAAAAACACTGGAATCTCTGGTTCACCAACCTAATCTAGTTAGCTAAACTGGGTCACTTGGGTTGCAGGACTTCAGTCCATTATTTTTCTGAAGGTCCTTTCTTTCCCCTGACAATGTGATACGAATTTGCTCAGTGCTTTGGTTGCCTTCTGTTGCTTTTCTTTAGGAAAGATAATACATAGTTAGAAATATTTTCTCTGGGTGTCAAATGAATCTGGAGATGTATCTCCAAGCTCATGATAATGAAGGTAGAAAAAGGAATTTTCCCCATGCTTTGTATAAAGCCCCAGCCCACTGTAACCACTTAATTTATTTTCCATCTGGATCTCAGAAAGAGTAACAGAACAGGGAGTAATGAGGAGAAAGGACAAGGGTTAGGATTGCTTTTGTGTAACATCTTCATTATTGATCAGCATTTGCATGCTAATGAAATCAACAAATGATGGTGAATTGTGTGAAGCTGCAAGCACATCATAGCAGAAGAGGCCAGAGGTCCCAGGAGCAATTCGAAAACATGCACAGAAAATGGCAGGATTAGATTTGGTTTCTAAAAATAATACTTGTAGAGGTGGGGAAGATCAACATTGGCATGAGATAGAACTGCAAATAGGAACAAGAGGGAAAGTCGGAAATGGAACTCTGTTCACTTTTACCTCTGTTAAATTTTGTGTGTGTTCATTGTCCTGAAGCCAACTGGGAACAGTGCTCTGTGTGCCAGGGGAATGATTTCCCTGCAACAATAATGGTACCAAAATTAATATGCCTCTTCACTTTTCCAAAGATCTCTGCAGGATCTCTTGGAGTGGTTGTAAGTCAGTGTGGAAATTCTCTCAAATCCCATACAAACTCATCTTAAAATTAATGAATAGAATCCATTATTTGTGAGAATGTAGAATAATGCAGTTAAGAAAGAATTGCATGAATCATTTAGCCCCACCCCCTACATAGTCAAAACAAAGAGGATTAGATCTTGAAGACAACATTGGCTTTTTATTTGCCACCCAGAGTCGTTGGAAATGAGATGGGTTGCAAATACATTTTTAAATAAATAAAAATGTTTAAATCTCTCTCAACCCTTTGCAGTTACAACAGTGGGCAAAAAAATAACTTTGCAACAAATATGTGTATTTTTCACCTTTGCAATCTCAATCAATTCTCTTTTTCTCTTCTCCCTGTCCCTCCCTCTCTCTCTCTCTCCACTCCTTCCCTCCCTTCCTCCTTCTCTCTCTCTCTCCCTCCCTCCCTCCCGCTCTATCTATATCTCATCTATCTTATAAGGCAGGGGTGTCAAACTCACAGCCTGTGGGCCATGCCCACCCCCATTTAGCAAAGGGGGGGATTGCAATATGTCATGTGACAACAATGTGTCACCACGAGTTTGACACCCCTGCTATAAAAGAAAACTGAAATGCTTACTTTTACTTTGTACATTTAAGTTAGCATTGACTCCTGGAGACTACCTGAACTAGTCCCTGCAGTTTTCTTGGCAAGGTTATCAGAGTGGTTTGCCTTTGCTTCCTTCCTTGGTTGGAGAAAGAATTATTGGCCCAAGGTCACCCACTGGCTTTGTGCCTAAAGTGGGACTAGAACTCACAGTCTCCTGATTTCTAGTCTGATGCCTCTACACCAAACTAGTTCTCAACTGATAAAAGGATACAAAATACCTCCCTGTCCACCTTTTTCTTTGAACTTACATAAGCCTTGATATCTTTCTAAGCTGCTGGTGTTAGTGCAAGGAACTCTTATTACTTCAGTGCTTTTAAAGTAAACAATTATAAATTACTTTGGAGCTTAAGAAGATCTGTAATGTTATTAAAGAATATATTTTTCACAGTAATGAAACAAGAACTTGGTTCTGCTTCATTTTATTTTAATACTACATTGTCTCTGCTTTCTCATTATACTTAATCTGGTTCACATAATTCTTGCTTATTTAAGGAACATGATTTGAGATTGGATCAATAGGCTGGTATCTGATGGGCAGATGTCCAACTCCAATTGCATTCAGTTCATTTGGAAAGATTTAGGGTACATCTTGTGTTAGAAATCCAACCCAGCCTGATATCATCCATAAATCTGATACCTGCTATGTCAGCTTTTTCATTAACAATAGAAAAAATAGCAGCCGATTAGTTAATAGTGCAAAATATATAGTCTTATGATGTAGACTAGTTTCTGAAAGCTTACATTTTCTGTTTCAGATATTGTACGATCCTTTCATTATTTTTTTAACACCTAATTTGGCTACCCTCTCTAGTAATTCTTCACTGACATTTTTTAATTAAGCTAAAGCATAGGATTGACTGCAATGGAGCTCCCATTGCTCTCTCTTTTCTTATTTTTATCAATTCATTGTTATCCTCTGAGTGCAGTTCTTTTTAGCCACCTGTGAATGTTTAATCTGTTCAAATAATTCATGCTTGTTTAAGGAACATGATTTGGGATTGGATCAATAGTCTGATATCTAGAAGTCAATCCTATGTACAATAATAGGGCCTTCTTTTCCAGAGTGAAGAAGTGGGGCATACTATTTGTAGCTCTCTTGGTGTTGCTTTTATTTGAAGCTGAGGCTGTGGTAATGAAGGGCAATCTGGGGTCTTCCAGCTGTTTTGAACTTAGTCTTCCATCACCTCAATTAACCTCTCCAATAATAAGATTATGGGATTTGCAAGCCAAAACATGCCTATCCCAAACATATGTACCCCAGGCTTTGCAATCAGAATATATTTTCTCTGTGTATTGAGGATGCTGATTGACTAGAAAAAATGTATTAAATCAGTTGGTTAAAGTATCTTCTAATATTTCACTTCAGTTTTCTCCAAATCCTTGCTGCAGTTTTCATTTTGATTCCTTGGTTTGCCTTCTCATATATAATGAATGCTCCATTTAGATGGGCATGCTCCATTTAGTTTTGGCATGCTTTTCACATAGGTTTCACATTTTAGTCTCTGTCAATATTCATAGCTATTTTATGTTATTTTTAAAAAATGAAATCAATATTAAACAACTTTGCTTTCTCTACTGATATTTCTTTTTAAGGTGAGTAGCAAACCCACTTATGCTTCACTTATGTAAATTTTCTTAAAGTAGTCTCAGTTATTTTGTTGGTTACAGTTCATTCAATGCTATTATCCTTCTCATCATTTCTACTACCTTTCTCCTATTCTGTACCGGAGACAAATTCCTTGTGTGTCCAATCACACTTTGCCAAATAAAGTATTCTATTCTATTCCATCTATGCGGGCACATTCTTGAAGTGGACCATTTGATTTCATTTTAGCAATCTCCCCATGTTTCCTCCTTTGATCAGTTTTTATTTTTGTCTCTCCCATTATTAAAAAGTGTCCTGCATAGCTGCACTTATCTTGTTCACTGTCTTCTGGTCTTTCATAGCATGGATATGGTCTACAATTGTGCCTCCATTGTTACACACTGTAGAATTGAACTATTGCCAACTACTGCTTATTATGCCGTTGGCTTTTTAAAAATAGGCTTAGCTGTCAATTTCAACAGGTTGTGGCATTATTGCCATTTTGAAGGATGTGACCATTCCCCCACCCCAGCTCAGAGGGAACCAATTGGAGTTGGTAGAGTAGACTCTGATACATAGCACAGCGGCTTTTATCACAACTCAGATTGTTATTCTTTTTCTTCTGATTTTTTAGTCTTTTTCTTTGAGGAAATATTTTTGCTGGTTGAGATTTTTCCTGCTGGATTAAGGAAGTATCCAGCTATATTGTGCATGCCAGCTGCATGAGCTAATACAATTTTTATATTCCAATCAAAATTTGAATTTTCCAGCAAAACAACTTCTCATTAAAATCTCATACTGTGGGTACTTGGCTTGGCAGTGACTGACGTGAAGTGTATTGTCTTCTCTGACATGTGTTTGCTTGTTTGTCTGCATCTCTTATTGCTTATTATATTTATCATACAGCTCTTTTAATAGCTACAGAGTGTTCTTTTCTTCGTGTCTGAAATTTCTTTCCAACTGACAGCACTTATACCAGTTCCTATCTTTTGTTCTTGTTCTATTTCTCTGGCCTGGGAGATTTAGACAAAGGTTAGGCAGGGGGTGAGGAAGGGCGGCAAACAGGATGTGTCTCCTGTAGTTTATATATTTACCATATTTTTTCTTCTGCAGCAAGAGTCCAAAGAGGAGCACGATCTGCAGCAGAAAAGAACAAAACAGCAACTGGATAGAGTGAAGTTCACCGCAAAAAGAAAAATTGCACGTAGGTGTCACATGTCTGGGGAAAAGGGGATACGAGAGAATGAAGAGTGCACACTTAAAAAAAACAATCCAGCTTTTACATGTCAACCATTTATGTCGATGCTTAATGATTTAGTTTATATGCATGGGTAAGTGAGTCTGCAGCTGTGTTTTGGTATAATGTTGTTCTTACTCCCCAGTATATCTAAGGTGATCTTCCCATGTTGTGTATTTGAGATCAAAAAGATGAAATAAATTATAAAGGTTACTGGTGCTGTACTAAATGGAAACCCAGAGGTAAGAATGAAAAGTGGTTATTATCACCTTCATATATATTATTTAAGCTAGCTAGCATTAGGTTTAGTGCCGTTCCAACAAATTACATTTTGATTCACACAATTACCATCCAGCATTTGCCTTTATTGGTAACTGTGGTTTTTGAGAGTTGAAATCTATCCAGAGTGTAACAATTTGAGGAAGCCTGGCTAAGCCCTATGTAAAGGCAGTCTTGCACTCGTATATTTTATGCTGGATAGCTTGCCCATTAGGTGAAGAATGCACATCCAGATCTATTCATTAATCAATTTAATCCAAAAGCCTCCTTCGAGTTTGTATTTAGGAGCTACAGTTCTGAGGTAATCAGTGTCAATCAACTAGTTTCCATTGCTGCCACCAGCTCTTTCTTATAAATCAGCCTTTGGGAAACCAGGAGAGGATTGAAGGGGGGTCTGGCTAACAACAGAATGGGAAACCAGACTAAACCGTAGGAGTCTTTAGCTCAGCTAAGCTGATGCGGGTGCTAGGAGGAAACTGATTAACTCCAGAAATTAAACAAAATTCAGTGTTGTTATAGATGCCAGAAGAAGATAAGGTTCCACAGGCACAACCCACATTTAAAAAGAGTTTAAAAAACACAAACACAATAGAATTCTAACTGTAGGGAAACAACTCCAGTTTCATCCTGGCCTGAAATAATTCCCTCATTTAAGATGCCAGCTTTCTATTAATTTCTATAGAATTATATCTATAAACAAAAAAAAACTATTTTCATCCAGAAACTCCTTCTTTTCCTTTACTGACTCTCAGGGGTCAACTATCGGAAGATAAGGCTGGCTTTTTCTTTAAAAGGCCAGCTGCTCTCTGTTACAAATTTGAAACCAATTCTTAATGGCTTCATAAATATATCCATATAATTTCCTTGGTTCAATGTGGAAGCAGTGACTCATTTGGTATTTAGTTTTACTTCCATCTAGCCCTATAATCTTGGTAGACCCTGGTGATATTGCTTCTTAGGTAATTTACTTGAGAAACAAGTATAGACTCATGAAGTGGAAGGGATATAAGAACATGTCCAGGATTTGCTGTACCCATTCCTGATAGTAGGAGGGTTTCAGGGTTTGTTTGTTTTTTTAGTTTTTGAAAGGGTTATTTCTGATGGACCATTAAAAACGTAGCAAAAAATAAAATAATTAACAGAGCAAATTTTGGTTTAGTCTCCTCATGATAGCTTCATGGTTTTATTCTAATTCATAAAATATGAATTCAGGAGCACCTATCCTATACCTAACAGTATTTGCCCACCCAATACAATCTGGTAGAAAGGTCCTCTTTATGTCTCTTTGCTCAGGGGTCCAGTATAGCAGGGGTTCTCAACCTTTGGGCTGCAGACCAGTATTGGTCTGTGGTTTGTTAAGAACTGGGCCGTGCAAGCACCAGGTGAGTGAGTGAAGCTTCATCTACGCGTGTGTGGGATCTAGGTTGGTCATGAAACAGGCTGCCCCATTGCTGAACCACTGAGTGACTCCTATTGTATGCTTTAGAAAGGCCCTTAGAGCCTGGCTATTTCAGCTGGCCCCAGGAGTGCGTTATTTTAATGTGTTCCTTCTGGAATTGGATTTTATCTTTTTGTAACATTAAATGGCGCTCCAGGGTTTGTTTATGTTGATATATGGCGATATGTTTCTGTTTTTAACCTGATGGGGACATGTTGGAATATATGTCAGAATTCTTAGTGAATGGAATAAGCCTAATAAATAAAATAATGTTTGCAACATATCTGATCTGAAACTATATGAGACACATTTGTGAAAGCAGTGATTGTACTCCAAGGAGAAATTCAAGTCAGTGTTTGAGACGTCTTCTCCGTAGATTTCTCTAATAAGAAAACAAGGCTATACTCAGGAATCTAAAGTAGCGGAAAGCTTAAAGATCTCAGCCCTTTAAGGTAGGCCAAGTTAAGAGCCAGACACCTCAGGGATCCCTAGAATGCCATTTGATTAAATTAAAAGAGAATAACAGAATCTTGCGAGCCTGTCCAAGTTTTTTCCTGCTCTCTCTTACGCTATCAAAATCAGGGTGGGATTATTCAGAGTTTCTTGCTTATGCTTACTTCAACTTCTACACTATGTAAGTGCTTCTCCGGGTCCTTAAGAATTCTTTCATACCAAGATAATTATTTAAATTCCTTTACAAGAAAGGAATTTGGAAAATGGAAGGGCAAAACACCCCTGTTTATGCAGAATACGTATGAGGCAGGTTTGTTTCAGTTGAATATGAAATTTTCAGCACATACAGTCTTGGAAATTTTGGATCTCTCGTACTTGTTTGGAGCCCACTAATGTCAGCCTTATAAGGTAGAGCAAGCTAAGAAGCAAGTGGTTATGTACGGTGGTGTGGTAATAAATGCATCACAACTAGCTACCAAGCCACTATATTGGTGCTCTAGGAATTGCTAGTCTGCTCTCAACCAGCTCATAACAGTTCTGAAAACATAACAATTGGCTGCCTGCAAACCAGCTCCAGCACATCACTAAAGTAGTTTTATAAATAGCTATAGAAGTTTAAAGAATAGCAACAGTAGCAGAATCTCTTAAGTCTGAATGTGCTTCCCTCCTCCCTCACTTTATCTTCGTATGAATTTGGGAAGGGCCTGTCTGATATATTTACTCAAACTACTGTAGGTTTTTTTGGAATGAACTTATGGTTCCCCTCTGATTGTTGCCTTGGTAACAATTCTGTCCACTGTCCATTAAGGCTATTTTCTGTGCTTTCTATCAAGCTCCTTCTGACTAGATCCTTAGTCCAAACGTCTCTAAAGAGTGGCCTTAGCCACCCCTAACAGTACTGGCCTAAGCATTTCCCACTTTTCACTGCTTTGGATGCAGGTCTCACCCCACTATATTAGAGCAGTCAATTAGCAATAATTAATTAGGCACATCCATTTACATGTCTGCTCTTTTATTTATTAGAAGTATAATTAGCCTTTTAGTGTTTATTTTTAGGCAAATTAAGGTTCATTTCTTTGAAATAAAAATGCTGTCTATTATTTTAAAGGGTTGCTTGAGTTTGATGACAAATTGGTCTCTTAGAGAAAAGGCTGATATACAGAGGATGGGGGTTGCTTGGCCTTTTCCTTGGGGATTTAGATTGAGCTGACTCAAGCAATTAGCAAGTGTGTGTATGAGGGGGATGGGGTGTACTGTACACACTTCTATGTGTGTATAAATATGTGATTCTGTGTGTGTGTGTGTGTGTGTATGGTGCAAAGGATTATCTCTCAATGGGCCCAATCCACATCCCTCCTTGAGTTGACATTTTATTAATTACGAGGCGTATCGGGTCTGGTTTAGCTGTACATATGAAGTTTTTGTTTATTTGTATATTTTAATTGCAATAATTTATATGCTGCTTCCTCATATAACTCTAGACAGCTCACAATAAAATCAGGCAAAACCCATCACAACATCACATTATAAACGGCATAATCATCAACAAGAAAAGCCTTGAATGTTCTTCAAGAGTTCAAAATACTTCTGCACTTCATTAAATAATACCTTCTGCCTTGAAGGCGTATTGAAAAAGAGTGGTTTCCAAAAAACAAAACAAAAAAAAACAAACAATAGGGAAGGTCTGTCCTCACCTTGGAATGGGTCAAGCTTTTTCCACATTGTGGCAGCCTCCACAGAGAAGGACAGTTTCCTGGCTCCCTTCCACAGGACATCGCAGCCTGCCTTCTTGGAATTCAGGGTTCCATGACCCAAGTAGGCCAAGCATCTGCTGCTAATAGTTCTACTGACTGTGTGCCATCAGGTTTTTCTAGACTCTTAGTGATTGCATAGATAGATTTTCTCCAGATCAATCTATACCCAGCCTAGTCCTTCAGGTCTTTCATGGTGCACCTTTTTCTACTGTAATCGAGCTGTTGCTGGCTTTCTTTCCTTCTACCCCTCCAGGTAGGGCATGTCAAATTTTTCTATTTTCAATTTCCAAACATTAGGGGTGCTCAAAAGTTGTGACATGCCTTGGGGATTTTAAAGATATTTTGGTTACTTTAATATAATTTAGAAGTTCTTCATAAGTAACTACATAAATATCGCAACTTTTTAACATTTTGTTTCATCTCCCAGTATTAAAGGCTTCTCTTCAGAGAGATAGGGTTTGTGTCCAAGGTAGGATAATTTGAGCATGGTCATTTGTGTCTTAAGGCAGGGGTCCCCAACCACCGGTCCGCGGACCGGGACCGGTCCGTGGATCATTTTGTACCGGGCCGCAAAGAAAATAAAAATAAAAAATAAAATAAAAATGGCGGCTTTCTTCGCCTTCGGTGAATGCTGCTGGGATCAGGGATCAAGGACACAAATGAAAGAAGGGGAGGGAGGAAGCAACCAAAGCCTGTCCTGCTCTCTGGCTCAGCGGCTTCGGTTTCCTCCCGCCTCATTCCTCTCTCAGTCGCTCTCTCGCT